AAAAGAAGAGCAGCCGCACCCCTCTCTTCTCACCAAACAACTCCATCTCCTCCACCTTTCCGAGCCATTTTCCGGTGAGCTTCCACCACCCAACCAGCCGCCTGAAGCAGCTCTCTCCAACAACAGCCTAAACCTCACCCATTTCCCCTCCAAAACAACCTTCAAACACCCAACAACAACCGAAAATGACCAACACCTTCAAACACCTATTTCACTCTTTTCCGGCAACTCCATGAACTCCAAACCACCAGACCCACCTCCATAACCATCGCTGCTGCCAGCAGCTCAACACCACCAGATCTTCACCGCACCACTGATCTTCCGATGAGCTACAATAATCGAAGGTTCAAACTCCGGCGAGGAGCTCATGAACCGGAGCAACACAACAAGGTCAGGTATTTTCATTTTAGTTTCTAAATTTAGAGATTTTATGTTAGGTAGATATTATATATATGAGTTCATTTTCTTAGATCTGTTTTTATTTGTATTTGCTTGATTATATTTATTATAAGTTTGATTTCATTGCTTTTGTTTAAGCCTACTTCCGGTGATTATGTTACTGTCATTGTTTAATTTTGTTGATTTTCTTATTGTTGGTTTCTCGCTCGACTTCACTGTTTCATGATATTAATTTTGTCATTTTATGTTCTGAAAGTAATGTGCTCTTTATTTGTTTAAGTTAGTTGTAATTTTTGCATTTTTGATATATGAATGTATGTGATGGTTTTTTATTTTATTTTATTATTTTCTCCACTTTCCAATAACTTTAGATTTGTATTGCTGCTCCATTTGGCTCACATATATTTAGTCTTAATTAATTTATTTGAATTGATTTCATTCACCGTTTAAGAAGATATCAACAAATCTCTCCGTCGATTTTGGAGGCCTTTACATTGCAAAAGACGAAAATTTAGTTTAGTTTCATATATTTTGCGGCTACCTTTTGTTGTTTGTTCTTTTTTAATATATTATTTTTGTTGTTTGAGTTAAATTTGGCCAATGAAAAAATTTCTCCGTCGATTTTAGAGGCCTTAAAATTTTAAAAGACGGAATTTTAGTTTAAGTTTATATATTTTATTTGTTAAAAATGGCCAATGAAGAAATTACCATCGATTTCTAAGGCCTCTCATGTTAATAAGACGGATGTTTATTTTATAGTTATTGTTTAATTCATTTATTTTAGTCATATTTATTTAGTACTAATACTTTTACTAAGTGTCTTTACAGGTACCCCGAAGTCGCTTCTCATCGAAGCCATTCGAATAAAAGTTTGAATGTTATATTCATTATTATGTATATTGTTGACGATAAAACAAATATTAGGTCGTTTCTCATATTACTTGTTTACTTTATTATTTGTGTATATTGCATGTTTGTTATATTTGTATAATATTTTTTACATCCTACCTCAATTTGAAAAAAATGAATTCAGTCGGGACCCACAACTGTGGATTTCGAAGGATGCCAAACACCTTTCCTTCGAAATAACGTGAACCCCTTACCTAGAATCTTGGTTTCGTAGATCACTTAATGGTTTCCTAGTTTTTTCCTAAAATTAGGTGGCGACTCCTTTAAAATTCTTTTTTTTCTTGAAATTCTTTTAAAATTGAATCAATTGATTATTTTTGAGTCATCGCAACGTTTCGCCCTATTTGAATAGAGTAGGGATGTAAACACTCAGAACCAAGAAACACATGAGGCTTTAGCTTCAAAAACTTAGTCAACATCGCATGCTCATTACCAGTCATAACAGAATCCAACAAAGGACGGAAGAAAGCATCATTACCTCCAGTTCCACCCGTCTTGGGCGCAGTGCTAGCAAGGAGGGATTAGTAGGAGCTTGAGTTGCTTGAACAGAAAGAAGCACTCCAGGACCAACAACCTTTCAGAATGACATGATCTGTTGAGCTAACACTGGGTTTATGAGAGGAACACCGGTAGTCTCAGCCTGTACCTCTTCCTCTTGTCCAACCTTTTCAACATTTTCAACCTCAATATCATCTTCTATCGATTCATGATGCACAGGAGGGGCCTCATTTTGGGGAACATTTTCGACCGATACCCCATCTCTAGCAGGCGCCATTCTTCCTCTACCCCTAGCTCTTCCTCTACCCCTGTCTCGACTGCGACCTCTCCCTGCAGATTCCTCAGTTAGAGCATTGACGGGAGCTACGGGGCTAACGCCGTTAAATATAGTATTAACCATCTGGGAACATAAGAGTGAAGGAGGTTAGATACCAATTTGAATTGTCATATACCAATTGGAATTAAGTTATAGCACGAAAGGAGACAAAAAAAAGTAGAAAGATTTCCTAAAGTCCTATAGCCTCTCGAAGAAAAGTAAAGGCGTCCCCGTACCATTCCGCAAGACTCTACTATACTCATTTTGGTACATTGAAATCAATGAACCTAGGCTCTGATACCAACTTTGTCACGACCCAAACCATCGTGATTGACACCCACACTAACCCTCCGGTGGGAGAACCACTACTACAACTCAAACCAAGCAACTAAAGCATTTAAGGATATGAAAACAGGAATAATAACTAAAACTGAAGTTCCCATAAACTTCAAACAAAAGATCTAACAACTAACATTGCGGAAAACACACCTAGAACCTGAAAGTCAATGTACTAAAACATCTAAAGTTCAACAAGTCTAAACAAGATGGGTCACAACCCCAAATTAATGAACTAAAACTTAATTAGAAAGTCTAAGTCCAAAATGGTGGACATAGACGAAAGGAGAACTCATGGTAGCCTAGAAGAACTGGCTCACTCTTGAATTCGAACGATCACTGATCTTCTAAGCAAGGTCTATCAATAGCCGCTTGAAGATGCCCTGTACTCAACAAAGAAAGAGCAAGTGCAGTATCAGTACACAACCATAGTGTACTGGTAGGATCACGCGGCTATCCCACTAAGTGTAACATAAGCAAGTCAATACAACATTACAAACATGCAACATACCGAACATATACAATATCGATTATCACATGCTCAACAATATACATTTATAACAAGTCATTGGTCCTCTCATGGAACCCAAACCCAAACAGTTAGCATACCGGATCGTGGTACCCGATCCAATGCTTATGTCAAAACGTGGCAACCAATCCAAGTTAGTTATGCTGGAACGTGGCAACCGATCCATTCAACACACCACAATCACAATCACAAGTATACCCTCAAGATCATACATTTAAGTCATGATTTCATGGTAACCATCATTCATCTATCTCACTTACAACAAGTGTGATCAATAATGCAACATTCATATACATACATGTATCATAATGAAGCAAGAACAAACATACATCACACAATCATAGAATCACAACCATCACCTACCTCGAAACAAGCTTGAAACCTTAAGAAACTTAATCCTTCCCTTTCTGGATTCGTTCTGCTTGTTCTTGGTCTACAAACAAACAATGCAATACGGGAATCAATAAACAATCACTAATTACCCGGATTACTAACAATTCCATCAACCCTAGATCATACCCATGATCCCAAGTACCCAAAATAAGGTTGTTTCCACCATAAAATCTAGATCAAAACCCTCCCCTATCGATAATTACCCATTCTATTACGTTCTACGGATCGAAAAACAGATTCGGAGAGTGAAAAGCTTACCTTTAGCCTCAAGAATGGTGGAAAACTGTCAAGAGTCGCTTGGGGTTCGTTCCTTAGCTTTAAAAATTGAAAAGTGCAGAATAAAGTCTTTTTGGGGTTTATTTACGACTTTAAGTCGCGTCGAACCCGCCACAGCGGTCCTCACCCCGCTACAGCGACCCCACTCTGGCGGCAGAAATCCCGCCCCAGCGGCTTGCACCGAATCAGTGAGCTATTTTAATAATTCCAAGACCCCCATTTCACAATACATCTTTAACCAACAACACTAAAAAAATACTGTTCATGCTATGATCGATTCTGGGAGTTCTACTCACCCGAATTCAATTCTGTAAAGTCGTACGAGTTCCTTAACGACTTATCTAACTACTCATGTAATAAAATTCTTAAATAAGTCACCCGATTGCTACTAGAGTTCCCTACACCTTAATGACTCTGATTTAGTCCAAATCTGAACTAGGTTGGGAAATTCCAAGTTACTACGAAAAAGTTTTCCGACCCAAAAATTTTCCCCGTTGGCTTTTCTATAACAACGGAACCCGATCGTTACAATGGGCAACAATTTACATTGATTATTTGAATTTATGGATACTCTATAACTCTTGTTTTAGACACAAAACGTAATTGAGTGGCTTGGAAAAAAAAACAACTTATACCTCATGGGTAACACTTCCAAAATCAGAATATTCTTCTTCATAGACTGCTTTATTAATTAGATGCTAACATACCTGATTTGTTATTAAGCCATAAACATATTGCTATTAGATCTTATCTACTCTAATTAGTAAGTATTTATTTCTTGGGTTTATCCTTTGGTTTAGGTAGACAGCTAGCTTAATATATGTTACTCCACAATTATTGTCTTAGAGCTAGTATTGATAATGTTTGATTTGAACAAGTCTCCATACAAGGAGTTCTTAAGAAAACTTGTATTTAAATTCAACTTGATATCTAATATGAGATACAATTTTACATCATCACTCAAGAGTTTATAATGAGAATTTTAAAGTTAAAAGTGTGTCTAAATAAAAAAGTATGACATTGTATTAGATAAATTAAAATGGAAAGTGATATTTTTTTGAGATAAACTAAAATGAAAAGTATGACATATAAATAAAATGCGACATAAAGAATATTTCCATAGTATATATAGATCGTCTAAAATAAAGACGATATTTCTAGATATATAATACTTATTTTCAATGTTGGATTCAATATAATAGATTCACGGTTCTGCATAACTTATTACCACATCATGTTAAGTGTGTGCGCATACGAAAAGCTAAATATATATAGAGTTACATATACATTTCAAAATTCACTCTTTCAATTCAAAAACTATCATGTTAAATTTTGAATGTATATTTCATAGAAGGAAATCAAGAACACCATGCTCTAAAATGACATCTTTAACAACTTTTTCCGACAAGAACCTCTCCGCCCATTTAGCCAAACTTGGTGTTTGGGCTTCATATACTAAATTCAGTCCCAACATCATCTCCATGCCCCTTATCCACCCTAAAAAGCAGCCCAAAACAATGTCAACATAACCAATATTGTCTCCACCAAAGAAATCTTTCCCTTTGCTACACTTGACAAATGCCTCCTCTAGTTGGTCCAACCCTTCTATGATATTTTGTAACACTACTTTCTTTGCATCCTTTCCCATAGCCTCTCTTATTTCCAACATCAAAGGGAACCACTGATGTAATTAACAATGATTCTTTTTGTTAGATTGAAGTTATTTAAATATTGTTCTGAAGGTGTTTGTTAAACTTATAAGCAATTAGTATGGCATAATGGAAGAGAATTTTTTTTTATAAGCCATAACAATTATTTAGGATTAAGTTCAACAGATGTTTGCTAAACTTATAAGTCAGATTGATATATAACACCAATTCGCTTGTTGCTACCTGATTCAATTTTTATAGAGTTTTCAGGATATTTTTTTTCGAAGTTTTCTTTGAGGGAATTATAGTCTGGCAAAGGGTTTTATCCAACTTGAACGTCCATCTAACGGAAAAACATTTCAAGATAATTTTTTAAGAGCATGCGAGTTGTGCCAAGGTAAAAAACTAACCATGCTTTTTGAAAAATCCTGTTATGTATAGAGTATCAAACCAAATATTATACTTTCTTCATACAATAAGGATTATATAGGTCAAGAGGAATGTATCAAGGACCAACATAGTCAAGAGGAATATATCAAGGACCAGCATAAAGCAACTTTAATACATCAAGGACCATTAGATCTTTTTCTCTTATAAATTATCTTATGAAGAGTAAAATAAAAAAAAATTGAGTTAAATTATTACTAAATGATAAAAGTTGTCATTCTTTTTTGTGATTGACAAAAAAAGAAAAGAGTGTCACATAGATTGAGATGTAGAGAGTAACATATATGACCTCATAACATTTAAAAAAATAGAAAATTTCATAAATAGCTATAGTTTTCCTAATTTCAATTCATAGCAACAATTTGAGAGAGTAGAGCAAGATCGTGATCAAGATCAAGAGGGAGGAGAGATGCTAGATATAGATTGCATCTCAGATTCAACTTGAGTTTGTATAGTGATACAACATATATTTGTGCATCTCTCCTCTCTCCCAACATCACACATATAGATACACATATTAGCTTAGAAAATGAAACATAAATACATAGAGACAATACATATGCATCAATCGTCAACCAAACACATGTACACAGATACACATGTATAAATTCTCAACCAAACACAGATACACAAATATACATATACACTTATTAATTTTAAAACTGAAACATAGATTCATAGATACACAGAAACACATACGTATCAATCATCAATAAAACACAGATACACATACGTATCAATCATCAATCAAACACAGATATACATGTGTATCTGATACACAAATACACAATTAGCTTTGATACATATATGCATCTCAAGAAACTTGGTGAACAATTTTTCTTTGTCGATTTACTTCATTTTTGTCTATCTAATTGTATTTGGGAATTAAATACAATCTTGAAGAGTAAAAAATAGAATTATACAACCTATGAAGAGGGAGAGCGGAGCAGGGTAGAGAGAGGGAAAGAGAGAGAGGGAGAGAGGGGGGGGGGGGGGGGGGGGGAGAAAGGGGGACAGAGGAGGGAGGGAGAGAGGGGGGGGGGGGGGGGGGGGGGGGGGGGGGGGGGGGGGGGGGGGGGGGGGGGGGGGGGGGGGGGGGGGGGGGGGGGGGGGGGGGGGGGGGGGGGGGGGGGGGGGGGGGGGGGGGGGGGGGGGGGGGGGGGGGGGGGGGGGGGGGGGGGGGGGGGGGGGGGGGGGGGGGGGGGGGGGGGGGGGGGGGGGGGGGGGGGGGGGGGGGGGGGGGGGGGGGGGGGGGGGGGGGGGGGGGGGAGCGAGAGATGAGAAGGAAAAAGAGAGTGGGACAAAGAAAGGGAGGGTGATGAGAGAGTCGAGAGAGATTTGCTATAAAACCCTCAGTATAGCTATATTAGGTAATATTTTAAAACTATAGCTATATATTATAAATATAGTAGCTATGTTTGATTAGATACGTAAATTTCCAACAAGAATATAATGACTTCAAGGCTAAAAAAAACTTAAAGGTTGAACTCATAGAGTTAAAATTTCGAATCTATCTTTGAGCAAACAATGCCTTAGAAATTGAGACAGATATATATTAATCAATGCACTCATATACTTCAAATTCAGGTCATTTGCACCTTTATCCCTATTTTGTGGTTGTCTTTAATTTTTGCCCCTCAAGGCAAATAATTTTTTCGCGGGACATGTTTATATTTTTCACATCATAGTATTCAACAAGTTATACCCCACACCTTTAAAGAATTTATGCCCTGCTAGACATAAGTTCAATTGCTAAGGAAGAAAATTAAAGACCAATTCATTTGAAGGACTAACCACACGATTAAATGTTTAAATTATGAATTTGCAAATATGAAGTAAATATAATAGTACCTTGTTATCAACATAGGTGGCCCAAAATCTGGCGATGGCACAATCATAGGGATCAGAAGGAAGAATAGATAGGCCATCTGGCCATGTCTCATCAATGTATTGGAGAATGACTAGGGACTCACACATGGCCTTATCACCATGTATTAGAATTGGGATTTTCTTATGGATTGGGTTGGATTGAAGAAGAAGTTCACTTTTATTATTAAAATTATCCTCTACAATGAATTCATAGTCTAGAGACTTTATGTTAAGGGCTATTTCAACTCTATTTGAGAATGGACTTGTACTTGTACCAAGAACCTTAATGTTAGTAATTGCTTCCATATTGACTAATTCTTGTTAATGACTTATATGATTGATTGTTGTAATGAAACACTAAAGTAAGTGTACTTATTATGATTGGATAACTTTGATGACTTTGATTAGAATATATCTTTGTCAACTTGCAAATAGCATTTGGACTACAAGTCTTGTGGTGTCGATAGATACAATGTTGATGATGTTATTAACTTTGACAAAAAGAAAAAGACACGTACAAAGAACAAGGAGCAAAAAGATAATAATAATAAAAAATTGTATGTTGCTCAAACTCTTCAAAAATGTTATCGCACTCGTATCAAATTCTTTGAAAATGCATTATTTTTAAAGTAGCCATACACACCTATTAATATTTTCAGAGAATTAGAGCAATACAGACAAAAATCACCATCAAACTGTGCATGCATCACAAAATTTTCCCTCAAAAAATGTTGAATTGTACCATATTGATGAGAGAATGGGTTGTTGAGTTCTTGTGTGATATTTGACAATTCTTTGTTAATAAGCTAATTTTGAAATTGAGTTAGTCTCACGATCCATTTTCTTTTTAAAAAAGGACCAAAAAAATCCTTTATTTTCATTTGTTCTTCTATAAAGTCTAATAAAAATTTCTTCTTCATTTTGTTTTCCGTTTTTTTATTGATCGTATTTCTTCTTCTTCTTCTTCATCTCTCCAATATGAGAGTAAATATCTTTTGCAAAATTGGGCATCCCACGACGATAAAAAGAGAGCAACTTTCACATATAGCAAACACAAAAATCATATTTATATGTTATAGCTATAGCTTGCATAATTGCACTCCACAGCAAACATAAATATGTATATTTCGCTATACATATACAAAAGAAAGCAGTTGTATATAATATGTTTCTGTTTCGGTATACATATACAAAAGATCAATTGTATAATCTGTGTTTGTATAAAGCGAGAAAGAGAGAAAGGCAAAAGAGAACTGGGCAGGAGAATATTTGTATTGTATAATTATAAGTGTATAGGACGAATATATATGTATTTGCATGTGTATATACAATTTTCTAAAAGATCAATTGTATAATCTGTGTTTGTATAAAGCGAGAAAGAGAGAAAGGCAAAAGAGAACTGGGCAGGAGAATATTTGTATTGTATAATTATAAGTGTATAGGACGAATATATATGTATTTGCATTTGTATATATAATTTTCTCTCGCTTTATACAAACACAAACGCATTTTATACATTTGCATTTGTATAAAAAGCGAGAGAGGTGAGGGAGAGAACGAGAGTGGCGAGCGAGATTCACCAGGAGAGAGGCGAAATAGCAACAGTTTGCTATGGGGTACAATTAAATCAAACTATATTTATAGCATTTAATTTGAATTAATAATTTGCTATTATATACAATTTTTCCATAAAAATACCAACAACAAATAATTATCCAAAAAGGCTTTATGCAACAAATTTCACACACAAAAAATAATCAATAAAAGAGAGATTGAGTGAAGAAGAAGTGATAGTCAAAATTAGGGGGTTAATGGAACAATTTGGTGGATTATTTAAAAAAATTTATACCGTCTCAATTTTTCAGATATTTTATATTGTATAATCAAATTATATTTTTTAAAACCATCCCAATCATGTCGAATCCTCTTTGGTATCGGTACAGTTCGGTTAATTTTAGACTTTTTTTTTAACTTTTAAAGTATCACCTCAAAATACACCATTATTAAAATATTTCATTCTCGAGTGTGTTCTTGAAGAAGCACTTCAATTCTTAACCAATAAACTAAAGAATGTAAAACCTTGTTACCGTATTGTTTGATCTTAAGTGTTTGCATAGGTTTTGCCATATTGTTTGATGACTTCTATAATAGTATCTTTATTTAAATCTAATTAATTAAAGGCTAATTAAAGGACAAAGGCCCAAAGTCGTCACCAAAACTCTAGGACCTAGGTTATATTTATATATATTATTAATCTTTTGAAAACATTCTAGTTATTCGGTTCGATTCAAATTTTTTATGATTTTTTATAAAATAAAAAAACCATCCCAGTTCGGTACGGTTATACACTTAAATAAAAGTCCATGATTTTATTTTAAAATGATACAAATTGATTCGATACAGTTCAGTTCGGTTGGTTCAATTTTCCATATTCTTTTGACACCCCTAGTCAAAATCACCTTTTGAATTGGAAAAGGTTCCAATTATACCCTTTTAATTTTTGACCTAACAATTTATTTAGAATAAACTATCTTATTAGACATACATCATTATCATATATACTAAATTTGCATCTATTTTCAAACATCCTTAATTCAAGCTTTCATATTAATCAACTCTCTCTCTCTCTCTCACACACACATACACTCTCTCTCTCTCTCTCTCACACACACACACACACTCTCTCTCTCTCTCTCTCCCCCCTCTCTCTCTCACTCACTCACTCACTCATCAATCTTCATCTCCACCACCATTTCCTCTCTTTCTTCCTCTCTCCACCAAGAATTCCACCATTAAACTTTTAAAATTGAAATCAGAACAATAAACAACAATTTGAGGTTTGTGTCTATTTAATCATTTTCAAATTCATGTATCGGTTAAAAGTTAAGGTAAAACTCCATTGATTTAGAGTTTTCTTAGTTTTCTTTTGTGGCTAGTGATTCTCCAAATGAGAAGAATGTCTCTCTCACTCTCTCTCTCTCTCTCTCTCTCTCTCCCCCCCCCCCTCTCTCTCTCTCTCTCCTCTCACTCACTCACTCATCATTCTTCATCTCCACCACCATTTTCTCTCTTTCTTCCTTCTCTCCACCAAGAATTCCACCATTAAACCTTTAAAATTGAATTCTGAAACAATAACACAATAATTTGAGGTTTGTGTTTATTTAATCATTTACAAAGTCATGTATCCGTTAAAAGTGTAACATCTCGCTATTCGAAAGAACTAGGAAGAGTTAAAAATTGAAAATAGTCATTTTTGGAAAGAATATAAAAATCTGGAAAATTTGTTAAGTATGTTAAGTTTAGTTTTTGGTCAACTTCAAATGACCATAACTCCTAGCTCAGGATGAGTTAGGTGTGTTTCCAGATATTGTAGGAAAGATCTTGGAATAATCTTCCCAACGCCACCAAGTTTGCGCAATTCTGAGTTCGTATGAGTGAGATATACCAATTGGAAGTTGGGTTGTTTGGATAAAGAAAGTCCAATCTGGATTTTGGAAGGGTAGTTTGGTCTTTTCCTTACCCTATTATTTTAATTTCGTTTTTGGTAATTATCTAAGGGTCTTAACTGAAGTTGGTCAGTTTACGCTTTTGGAATTTGAGTAAGGGTTTTGAGAGAAGAGAATAGAAGAGGAGAAAAAGCAAGAATCATCAAGATCTTCAAGAATCGCTTGTGGATTTCGTCAAGGGAAGATCCCTACGAGGTATGTGAGATCACATAGCGTTGGGTTAGTTCACCCACGCGCCAATCATGATTCAATTCAGCGAAGTATATTTGATTTGAAAGTAAATCCCATGAGTTCTTGATGAAATTCGTTTGAATTCTTGTGGGTTTGTGTTGTTGAAGTTTCTTGAGTTTGATTCATGTCTTTGGGTGTGAATTTCGAGTTGAATCTTGTATATATTGAGGGTATAATCGATTCTAAGTGTTTGGGGAAAGAACTAAGTTGAAATAGGGGGTTTAGAGATGAAAAACGAAGGAGAAAAGTCGGAGTGCACCTGGGCAGGGGCCTGTGACATCGCCCCTCTCAGAGCCCCAAGAAGGGAACTCTGAAGTTTGGACCATGGGGTGCCGTGCCAGCCAGCGCGCCCCACCCCAGCTTCTGAAGTTTCCCTTCTGGTGCCCCACGCATCTCAGAGCGCCAAGAACATCAATTCATCCCATTCCTCCCCCATCTTTCCGTACTACTTCCTTAGCAACGTACCTATGTTTTCTAGTCGATTTCTATACTCTAAGGTACGTCAAAACATCATGAAATCATCATAAACATGAGATCATGAGCCTTGAATCCATAATCCAATTCAAGGAAAGTTAAGATCAAAGTCAAGAGAAGTAAGAGTCAAGTCAAGAGAAGTTCTTAGAGTTTTTCAAAAGTCTTTTCCAAATGTTTTAACATTGTTTTAAGACATAAAGTTCAAGTTGTGTAAAGAGTAAAGATTGAAGTGCATTTCTTCAAAGAGTATATGGGGACTATGTATTCCCAAAGAGTTTAAAATATTTTCACATTTAAACAAGAAAGAAAACCTTGATTTCCAAAGAGCCTTTGGGCTAGTTTTCAGAAAAGAGTAATCGCTTTCTAAATTAAGCAAGAGAGGAAACTTTGATTTCCAAGATAGCCTTTGAGCTAAGTTTTGAGCAATTATCTCAAATCACAGAAAGAAGTATGTTTTTAAACATAAGAGCTAGTATCATAATTTGGGAGTAGTATTGAGCAACGATATGGGGCAGAGTTCAGACAACTCACAACCCCCATAAACCATGTAGCCATCATGGGTAGAAAAGGGTCATACTTTTTAGATGATTCCTTAGTGCTTTTTAGCATAGGCTAGTGGATCCACTTAGTAGTCAGGCTCTATACCCTCGGGCAAGGGTATAGGGATGGCCCTGGCAGCGTGATGCAAAATGTTGTATCATCACAATAGCTCTTACGTGATAGTTGATGGTTAGAGAAACTCCCACAGAAGTAATTGTATTCTTATATACACAATTTATTTGTATTTTTACATACATCTCAGAGTTATATTGTATCTTTGCATACACACAGAATTGACATCCATGTTTTAAAAGCTTTTCTTTATATTGCACTTCTTTTATACTACTTTATATTGAAATGAGTTCAATTAAGTTGATGTTGAGTTGAGCCAGGTAAGTTCTTCAGTTCCTTTCAAGCTTATGTCTTGTTTTAGAATTCCCCTCGCATACTCGTATATTCAATGTACTGATACCTTTTGGCCTGCATCTTTGTATGATGAAGACACAGGTAACGAGCGCATCGCTGATCCAGTTGAGCACTCAGAGTCTTGTGGTG